TATCAGTTCAACTTCAATGCCGCAGCGATAGACTAAAGGGCGATGTTAGTATTTGGCTCACAATTCACAACTCTAATCCTCTATATTTATCGGTTTAGTATGAAAATTATATAATTTATGACAATATAATTCAAGTTTTAAACTATTGTATCACCACTGCATACAAGTAATAATTCGTCACTCTACTCTAACCTAGAGAAGAATGTATAACTTGCGACAGTTTAAACTGATCAGTCGTCTTCGTTTTTTTACTTTAATCCCATGTAGCTATTAAGTAAATTTTGTGAATCATAGGATTTATATAATGTTAATGTATATGAGTTATATTGACAGAATATCAGAAAAAATGAATAATTGAAGGAAATAATAAAACCGAATGTATATAATTCTAATCATATAAATGTCACAAAACTAACAAGATAGAAATTAAATTCATCATAGCATTTAACCCTTTTAAACTCTTAAATCATATAACTGTAGTAGTCCCTATATTAAATATGAAATAACAATTCGAAAGTCTATTAGCATTAGCGGAACCTTATCTTTTACACTTTGAACACAAATAAGTAAATATGTTTATATGTTTATATGTATACTTGGAAAACAGGCGTCCTTTAAGTAGTAGCACATACATATTTGCGTAATGATAAATTAATATTTTTATAAAGAATAATGGTAAAAAAATTAAATTATTTTCATTATTCTATACATTGTTTGCAAAACAACACTACAACATTACAGCATTTCAAAACGTTGACTTATTTTGGTATTGACTCAATCTCTAAAAAAAGATGCTTTTTACGGGTTATTTAAAAGAAAACATAAAAATATGATCGAATATTTAGAGCTTGGAGCTTTACTTCCACAGGCACGAGTTTAATTTACACAGTGCAATGGCATTTAAAGCTCCACCGCATACATTATTATTATGATTGAATATGAATACAATGTTCGGAGTTGATTGCAAGCTTTATATAGTCTCTCTCCTGTGAAAAAATAAGATTGTCGGGCGTGGAGACCTCCCTCTGTATTTGAGACCTAACTTTATTGCCATGTTTGCCATAGAGCCGTATGATGTGACGACACAATAGTTAACAATCTGAGAATGGTTCGGACATTTTATTTCACTACACACCAAGGATAAATGGAGGATAAACTTGAGTTAGAACACGTTTAGTCTCATGGCAGAAAACATGAATAGACAATAAGATCAAAATTCTGTTGGCCTTATGAATACGTATAACTTTAATGGGTTTGGATTGCTTTCCCTTAAAAGAGTTTGAACCGACGTTATTTAAAAAATGCCACAAGGAGCATTTAAGTCTTGAATATTAATGTAACGGAAGTTAAAGTGACTTCTTAACAATTTAACAATATTATAATTAGAAACTATCGGCAATCGCGAGGAACTTTATTTAGTTTGTAACTTAGGTTTTCACTAATTCTTATTCACTGACAAATTATTAAAAATGCCTATTAACATATAGGTAACACTAATTTAAAGCAAAAACTATTCTGTTGACTTTTATATATTTTAATTCATTAAATTTGAAACATGTGTTGTAAAACAAACATAAGCTATTAGGGTGTTTGTGGACCCTACTGCGACAAGACAAGATACATTGTGGCTGCTGGAGTTGGACGGATCCTTCCACTGCTCTGCCGCACCGCTCCCACGTCATTCTTTGACATATTTGTTTTCCTCTTCCAGTGTCTTGTGCAACTCCAGGGGACGCTGGGTCACCGGCCGTGGTCCACCCGACACAAGACAAGATACATTGTGGCTGCTGGAGTTGGACGGATCCTTCCACTGCTCTGCCGCACCGCTCCCACGTCATTCTTTGACATATTTGTTTTCCTCTTCCAGTGTCTTGTGCAACTCCAGGGGACGCTGGGTCACCGGCCGTGGTCCACCCGACACAAGACAAGATACATTGTGGCTGCTGGAGTTGGACGGATCCTTCCACTGCTCTGCCGCGTCATTCTTTGACATATTTGTTTTCCTCTTCCAGTGTCTTGTGCAACTCCAGGGGACGCTGGGTCACCGGCCGTGGTCCACCCGACACAAGACAAGATACATTGTGGCTGCTGGAGTTGGACGGATCCTTCCACTGCTCTGCCGCACCGCTCCCACGTCATTCTTTGACATATTTGTTTTCCTCTTCCAGTGTCTTGTGCAACTCCAGGGGACGCTGGGTCACCGGCCGTGGTCCACCCGACACCACACCACTCGATGATGACGCACCAGGCCGACGAACTTGTAGTACAATTACGCACCCACGACGAAATTTTACGCTATCGAAACCCGTAAATTGACTCTCGTACGAAACTTAGTGCAACGCCCTTGACGTCAACCTTCGTTGGCGGGACGTATCAAATGGAGTCGTTTATCAGAATATTAAATTATTAAAAGTACCTAAAACAATTACCATGTGAACCCTCTTTATTCGAATGGTCTATTGTACTAAACGTAAAAACCTTGCAACGTCCGAAACAATAATAATTTGACACGTCCAACGACCCAAAGTTGACTGCTTCGGCGTCAACAAAAAACAGTTGAGACGTCAACTAAAGTACAGTATTTAAAACAATATTAGAATTAATTATTAGAAATACCAACCACCCAAATCCATTTTGCTTCTTCAGTTTGTAAAAGGATGCTGTAACAACATGTGCCTCAAACAAGCTTAGCATAAAATACTAACTATCTGGACCGTCATGATCCATTTCCTCTTTTAGCGGATTTCCCTATCGAGAAGAAGCCTATGACCGTAGGTGGCAAGTAAAGACCGGCACCCGGGGCCTATGAAAATTTTCATTTCAATGTCCTCAGAGTCTAAAAACAAAATATGTTCAAATTGTTTATGACCATGAGCACGATAACTCGAGTAGTTTTGGTTATATTTTGGTTACATTTGGCATGTATTTTAACAGCTGAATAAACTGGGGTTCGCCAAATAGTATGATCGGGTCATGGGAACAGGGTGTTTTAAAGTTGTACAAAGATTGGTATGTTTTTTTGCGATTTTCATTACAGCCATAGTGTAGAGCTTAGAAATACAAACAATGTTGTATATTGAAGCATATTTTTACAATTTAAGGTCGTGGAGAAATTTTACTACCTTATGGAAATATCTATAATATTAAAATGAAACAGGTTTTCTATTTCACGATTCTGAATCAACCACTAGACGGATTTTCATGATTTTTGTGTTGAAAAAAGAAAATTTTGAGAACTAGGGAATGTCGAAGCCATAATTTTAGTTTAGGGTCCCAGTTATTTAGAAATTAAGTTTTAATTTTTTTTAAGTCTAGCAGCCGACGCTAAGATTCTAAACTAACTTTTGGTGTAATATAATTTGTTTCACATAACAGCTGTAAACATTCAGCGTTTGTAACACAAATTCAGCATTTGGATAAAATTAAAAGACATACTAAGGGTTGGCTTATTTATACTATGTGTAATGCTAATCATTGATACGTTCAATCCTTCGATAAGAGGATGACGGATTATTTAAATATACATAGGTAAAATACTAGGATGTTCAAAGGATTTTTTAATAAATCTTTGCAATCTTCGGTTTGTTTTAGTGCAACCAGACGGGTTTTATCCAAAGATATACATATATGAATGACATAGATTGAGCTCAACGTAATCATTGACCTAGGATACTGCAATTAGACTAACCATCCTTTTATGAAATCTAAAAAGTTGTTTGGCGTGTGTTTAATTTTGGTTCCGTTTGGAGGCGCTGAATATTTTATAGTTTAAATAAATGAATATGGGGAATTACGGTGTACATTGATTCAATGAGGGTGGTTTAATTATTAAGGATATTAGAACTGATAACGGAATGGATAATAAACATAGACAATTACGTCACTAGCTTTACTAGCGTGTTTTACGTTTTAAATTCCTTCAACATGTGACCAGTTCTTTTGTTCAAATGAATATTATTTTATTTTTGACTCAGCTGTTTACCAAAACAAACTATATGTTGTTGTTTTTACTTTTCTTTGTTTACACTTATTTATTTAGCAATTGATGCAGTGAAATTGATGTAAGGATATGTGTGGACGTTTCGTTTAATGATGTAAGGACACCAACGTTAATTATGTGTACTGTGAATTTTATTGGATGTTTTCGTTTTTTCTATTCAGACATACTGGAAATTGTGTATAGTATGAATAATTGTATTGTGTTGATATTGATTATGGAAGAGGCAGGTATGCGATGGAATTGTAAGGTGATATCGTTGACTAGGCCTATACACTTTCTCAATTGATAATTAGTCTTTCTACTGTAGGCTGCTATAAAATTTGTCTTTATACGTGTAAGCTAGCAGTTCTGATTTATACTTAGTTTTAACTGACTACTCCCGTACGTAGGACGAGCTAACACCTCGTTTGAATTAAAATCCAATCAGACGAATTAAAATTCAGTTAGTGTGCAGGTTTGCTGCGGCGGAGGTATTTATTTTAATCGAAATACAATAGTCTTTTTTGTTTCCAGCCATTACTGTACTGTTAAATCTCAGCCTTGCGTAAACATGCGTGTCAAATGTACTATAGATATTAATCTAGAATGTTATACATTAAATGCAGGGTTTTTGTATCAGTTGGTACTACTGAATATATACTGTACTTACATCTGAGCTAAATCTGTATATACAGGGAGATCATGAATTTGATCATCACTTATTCAACGCAGATGCAGCTTTTGGAGGTAAATATTGATTTGTTTCCCAGGAACAAAAACTGGACACGGTGCAACTGCGCAGGTGATTAAGAAATTAGTAAACGGATTAATTTTGGGCCCCGGGGTGTTGGTCGTGCTGCGCATGTATACCCTACAGCCAATGCATGATTGAACTGTTGATCCCCCTTGTGTCGTAGGCCGTTTGGTCACTCTTGGTCAGTATTGGTTGAACATTGAAAAGGATTGTGTGACACAACATTTACATAAGTTTATATTATATATTTGTTTTTTTTAAATGAATATGATTGTCAATCTTGCTTAGTACATTTATGAAATGTATTATCATTATTGTCATTACTTTGACTCCAAACTCTGTATAAAGTAGGATTGTATACGGTTGGGAATGAATATTATATGAGTTGAAAATAGTACACCATCTCTCCATATATAAGTTACCTCTGAGGAAGTCAGTTTTATGTTGTAAATGGTAAGGACTGCAAAGATTTTACTTAACACGTCGGTAACAAGTTAAGTGTAAGGCAACCGATAAATGCCCTAAAAATGGCGGGCATTTGTAACAAATCTCTTTCCCTATATCATATAGCGTTATTTTTATTTTTAAACGAGTACGTTTTGTAAGAAAAATTATTTAAAAATCTGCTGAAAGAAACGGCTCCAGCGATTTTTTCAACTATTGAAGTTTATTGTTGGTAATGGTCAGTTACTAAATGTTTATTGCGAACGTTTTCCATAACAATGGAAACATACATTACAAAACGTTTTGGTATCTGAAATCTGAAGCTGTCCTCAGATTGCACAAATAATTTTTTGTATTTATGTTTTCAACTGATTTCTTACTGTTAAAAATCTTAGCCAAAAACATGTATCTGACTTTATATTTTTGTGGAACAATACGATTTGGAAACTGCGCAGTTTGTAGACTACCCTCGACGGAGCCACATGCGCAGTACGACATTTAGTTCGGGTAATCCCTGAATTCTAAGAAATAGATGCGCAGCTCAACATCACCCCAAAAACTAAACCACAATGTTTACATTTGATTTAGTTGCGTAGAGTTCGTTTTGTGATAAATATCTATTTGTATTCAGCCATCTAGCTGATCAAACCAAACCAGTGATAATTTGTTTAGAAAAATGCTGCACAATTTAGTTGTGATTGTTGATATGTTACTATTTCTACAGTAGGTTAAAAGAACTGCATTATTCTCCTCTTCGTAATCACCCGAAGCAAAGTAGGATAAAGTGATAATGTAAATGATATTTTACTGTTTATTACGTGCGTCCAGCTGATAAACCTTGCCTCGAAGGTCAACGAACTCAATGGAGAAAGTGTAAACTTTCATTTGGTCTCAGTGCCATGTGTAAACTCGTTTATTCCTACAATTAACACCTACGGCTTACACTTCTATCGCCGCCATTAACAGTGAGGGAATGTCTTATTTTGCTTTCCCCACCAAGCAGTACACCTCTTTCACACGATCCGGCGCGTTGCTGCGCCGGACAAGCGTGTGTCTCCACACGAGGACGGTTTCGTCCGGCGCGCGCCGTACGGCACTCCTGAATATTTATTATTTGTTCTATTCAGTTGTGGCTCAGTAGTTGCGATGTTAACACCACGCAAAATAATGTTTGGCCATGTACTTAGTATGGAGAAGAAGCGAAAGAAGAAGAAATAATAGACGATTTTGGGTTACAGTATTACACATTACATTACGCAACGATGAAGAAAGATTCTTTTCTTACTTTTGCATGTCTATCAGTGAATAGGCCTACTCCACTTAACTTAAAAGTTCAAATAAAATGAATACTGTAGTTTAATTTAAAATATAATAAATTCGTCATATCTGAAAATTTTGTATTCTAGAAGTCTCAAAACATGTTTCATTACAAAACATGTTTCATTACGTATAAATTAATAATTTTATACTAAATATTCTCCTCTAGGTATAAAGGTAAAAGTTTGATTTAATACTTTAAGTAGGCCGATTTGTATGGGATGAACATACAAATATATGTTTTGTGATAACTTGAAGTATATTATTTTCTGATACAACGATATATAAATTCTTATATACCTGTTGCACCCTCTTGGTCAGGTAGTTTGCCTGAATTGAGACAGCCTAGGGTTGGGCCGTGCGGCGCACGCCGGACCGTGTGAAAGCTCCAATAAGAACCAATAGCCCTTCGCCGAGTTGTCCGGCGTGGACGCCGCGCGGCGCTGTTTGTCCGGCGTAGATGCGTCCGGCGGTAACTCCGAGCACAGATGAGGCAGGCAAGTTAAGGCACATTCAGTCAGGCAGATGAGGTGGCATACAGAAAAAAACCAAACTCAGTAGCCTAACATAATACAACCGAACGTATCCTTCCTCGATTTCAGAGCCTAGTTCAGTTCATCTCTCTCCTTCATTCAGGTCACACCCCTATTTGTCCGCAACTTTCCTAAACTCGAATTAAGCTGCCCAGTAGCTGATAAAAAATGACTAAAACCTGCTCCGCTATACTCAAATGTTTCCTTGTTATTTTGCTAGATATTGTACAGGTCCGATATATAGACACTGCAAATTTTTATCTTATTGAGCGGGGCGAGCGAAGTGTTGGATTAGTTGATATGATGAGTTTGGAATGCCGCAAATACTATAAGGTTCGAGCTTGTCAAGATCACGAAGGACGACTATAGGCAGTAGAACACAATGTGCAGAAGAGACCCGAATATGCTTACAGATCTTGACAACTTAGATCCAGGAGATGTCCCCCTCCCCCAACCACTGTAACAACACTTTATTCCAGCTGAGCAAATGATCCTTGCTAAAATTCAGCCTGTGTTACGTCTATATCAGTATCGTTCGGGTGGACAAATGTGTTATAACATCAATCCTAGTCGTATTTTGAGGATGACTATAGTTTCGAGGCTTGAGACCCATTGTCAAATCATATGTTTTTATTAATTCTCGTTAAAACACAAGTCGTCACAGGGGTCTGACTTAGGGGAGGTACAAATGAGGCATTTAGTTCAAAATTCCTCCGTGAACAGCGCTGTAGTAGAGAGCACTTTTGCAATGAAGGTTTACTAATCGCAAAAATAGTTCTGCTCATAAAATAAAATTATAAATGCCTCAAATTCAATTTTACTATTTTTTAATTATAAAATTAAACTATCATAACCTAACCGAACTAACCAAACTTGCTGATAAAGAAATAATATAACTTAACAAGAGTTTAGTAGTCGGAAAAATAATTCTGTTTAATGGCGTTCCCTCAGCTAATAAGAAGCCCTCAGCTGTCATCGTAGCCTCTTCTATACCTCCCCTGAGTAAATACCGTCGTCACAGTTCCACATATAGTTCACATACATACTCTTTGAACACATAGGCGAGGTTATGGTCATATACGATTTTTGGGTTGATGACTTTCTTTTACTTTCTCCCCCTATACCATAGTATATGGTGCAAGTATTGTTTTGGTCAAAATATTCGAGTTTGAGTTTTGGAGTGGATATATTCGTTTTGGGTCCACCTGGAGTCTGGACCAAAAAAAGTGGTTTTCGAAGTATAAATTACCAGAGTTGAGACTGTGCGTGTGTGTGTGCGTGTGTGCGTGTTTGTATGTGTGGATCTCCTGTGGTCCGATTTTGATGGAATTTGGTATGTAGGTACTAAGCCATGGTATCTCCAGGCATGTTTATGGTGATTTTCCCATAAAACCCACAAAATAACGAAATAATCAAATTTTCTCGAAAATTGCCCGAACGATAATTTTGATAAAAATTAAAAAAATAAAAATAGTACGTTAAAGTTCTTTAAGTTCTGAACAAAATGTTAAACAAGTCCCATTGCTGTAACAATTTCGGTTCAAAGGTTATTGTTACTTATTTTATTTTCCCATTAAAACCTAAAGTAACGGAAAATCGTGTTTTTAAAGCTGGTTTTGAATTAGTATGTTATTGTCCTTATAGTTCAAAACAAAATAGCGCAACCCCCTATTGCTGTAAAAATTAAGGTTCAAAAGTTATTGCAACTTTTGTTATTTTACCTTTGAAATAGCATAGTTGCTCCCACCGCATACCCATGATAATGGTTGTTGACAAGCTAATGGGAGAAAGTATGTGTCAGATTCAGATTGCTGATACCGTTTATTTACACATAGTTTTCAATGTAAACACTCACATTTGACAACGCCACAAGGGTCCAATTTTTGTTGTTGTTGTTTCAAAAGATCATTATTGTTTTAAATGTTGTCAACCCGGCTGTCGGAGTTATTTTTTCGTCTACTCTGATCTTGTTATGTATAAGATTTTTTTTATCAGTTTGTGTGAATTTATACAGTTTATTTTTGTGTAATAAAGCACTTTTTAATTTCATTTCATTATTAGTTCAGTATTATATAATATACAGTAATACTCTAAAACAGGTATTAGAGTACAATAATAATGAATACATGTATAATTCATACATGTAGAATCAATACAATAATGATGAATATAAATGTATAAATATAAATATCAATAAAAATAAAAAAATTAATAATATAAATATCAATTTATAAATATAAATAGATTGCAATAAAATTATCCTGTATCAGCTGTTTTTATTATCTGCAGCTACAAAATTGTATTGAGGGGCTGTGGACAAATTAAAGTGGAACTGGACTTCTTAAAAATACGTTGCCCTTAACATTGAGTTTTTGGAACGAGGTTTGTTCGCGTATTTCCAGAACTAGCCATGAGTAATGCAAATACCATAACATCTTAGATATGCGATTCCTCAGTGACGCAAGGGTTCTCTAGGAATTCATCGCCACGCGCCATCTACTACTGTTTACAACAGGGGAGTTTTACTTCCTAGAAACTAAAAATGATTTCTTCTCCCTAGAGAGTAAAAATTCTACTTTAGACGCGCAACGCATGCATTAAAACGGCTGTTTATGCCCTTGGTAGTCTTTCACAGAAATAGTCTAAAACGAATGTTAAAGTTGATTGTTACAAAAGTGTAAGAAGCGTCTTATAAATGTTTAAAACCATTCTAATTTGTCGACAAAGTTCGACTGATTCCTCTATTAAAGCCTTTCTATTGTTTTAGGAGAATTTGAGTCTGAGCAAAACACTCCCTTTGGCAGGTCATTGCCCAAGATCGCACCACTCACCACTGTCGGCAGACAGGGTTGTTATGCTAATGTGTGGAAGGTCGATGACACCAAGGGGTGCGAGGGTCTGGGGTCGAGGAACTAGGAAGTCCGGGCGGTGCAAAAATCATTCCAACCCCTAATAAAATAGAGAAAGTCGCATTTCGACAGTTGTAAATAATGAAATTACGTTTTACAGATTTTGAATGTCTTACTTGGAAGCTATTATAACTGAAGGTCGACAACTAATGGTAAAAAAACAGTGTTTGGACCCCGAAAATAAATCTAGGGTGTATAATAAAAATATACCAGAGACATATACAATTAATTTTGACCATTTTAAATGTCTTTAATGTTATGAATCAATTCGGCAATACAGTACCTTTTCACTGATTGCTGGCTAGAAGTGTCGTGTTGTATAACAAAATGTCATGTCTATATAATTTGTTTGATTGTGACAGTTATTGCGAGGTGCGCGCAAATTTAACGATTCTCGATGATCCATCAAAAGAGGGAGTCTTATGAAATTGTATGTGTGTCTAGTTTCGTTGTAAATACTTATCAATGACAACAAGCTCTCTTCCAAGTATTTGTATTCAACGTTCACAACAGACTACTAATGAAATCTCGACTCTCGAGACACCGTTACAGGGTGATGTACATTATCTCACTGCGTTCAACAATTATTATCTTGAATTCCTAGATTTGTAGTTGGCAATTCAAACCCACGAAACCTAAATAAACCCAATGATGTGAGGGTTTACCAGGTAGCAATTTGTTCAAATATAACTTAAATGATATTTCATAATGAAATGTGATTAATATTGATTAAGAAAAAAGTGCGATTGAGTTAAGCATTTTATAAATTGACTTCCTGCAGAACATAAAAAGTTTAGTTAGAAACAATCATTCATAAGGCCCATATTTCAGGAAACAAACCAGCTATAACGCATTTTGTTTTGTAGTAGACGTTTAGTAAAGAATTTCGAAATATAATAGTAAGCCTAGACGAAAATTCGTTGCAAAAAAATTCCTGCATTGAGATTAAAAACTTGAACTAGCCCATTAAAAACAAAATTTTACCAATTTTATGGATTTTGATCTATAATTATGCAAAATGTAACATACAAAACGACAAGTGTGATTTGACTTAAACGCTAAAATCAACGAAGTCAACCCCTCAATGTAATCAAAGATTTTCCAGAATTGATATACTTGAGATCAGTTTATTGAACCAAAGTCAACACGTCGTGTATAATTTATAACCTCTCATGATAATTCAAACCAATAATTCTCCAAAGGTGCCCGAACAAAAAACTTAATAACCAATTAACCTTTAATTTTCCCATAAGTATTCATGGTCTGTCATCCCATAACACCCACTTCCGATATGATTCGACCAATGATTAATCTTAGAAGTAATCGAGCCGATAATTTCGGGGCAGATGCTCATCCCTCGACTTTGGTTTTACACCTGCGTCGGGGGTTGGTGACCTGAAACCGTTATTTCATCCCTACAGGCGGCGCGCGGCGCGGCGAGGCGGGTCGTCCGGGTTTCGCGTCTGAGCCGTTTATGGTTTTTTGCTCCCAAGATGAATAGGTCTACAGTTTGGTCTCTAAAGCACCAGGGGTTTGAATGTCACGTAAATTGATCGACCGATACTAGATTCTGTGAATCTCTATTGTATCTCTACAATGCTTGTTGGTCGCAATCGAGCACAGTTTCATGGTAACCGATTGTAATAATGTTCTGAAGTAGGACGTGGGTAAATATTATATTGTGTTCAGTACTTTGATGATTGTTGGTTTGACTAAACGTGGATTTTGGTAATAATTTTGTGGGGATAAAGAGAGTTTATGAAACTATAGTAAAAATAACCCGTTTTGATGAAATGTACAGGCGAGTAAAAATGTACTGTACATTCATTAGGGAGTTCGCTACTATTTTAGCGTGATCAAACTATAGGAACGGGGGTTTACGTGGTAAAAATAGTTTTCTATTTTAATCCCCAAACATACAATGTTGTGATTTCTTTCTAAACTATTTTGTAGAGCTTAAAAGCTAATAGTTCAGTAAAGTAAAGCGTATTTGTTTTCCTAATGGTTATGGAGAAAATAGAATAAATGCATTCCCACGTAAGTTTTATGGAGGATAAATAAACTGTTGTTGCGTGCTTGTTTATGAATGTTTTGATCAAATTTAGCAAAATTAATTATTTCGTACTACGCAATTAACATTTCAATTCCAAAAACAAACTTTGTTCCCTGTCCTGTAGGAGAAAAACCTACTAATTAACCTTAATGTTATTTCAATATAGAATAAATCTGACAATTGTAAGGAGTAAAGATCCAATTAGCCAAATGGACATTCACTTAGTAGTCTGTTTGCTGCGGCGGGGGTAAATGTACCTTGAATGATTAATATTACAGTATTTTTAAATCAATAATTAAAAAAAAAACTTTGTTGACATATTGTTTTCATCCTAGGCTACATAATTTTATCCATACTGCAGCACAAAGAATATTCGGCTGCAAATGTATTATGGTAACAAGATAAGCTTGGATAAACAGTCCAAATGCTTGCCGAGAAAGCCAACATTGTTAATTTGCTAGGGAACTCGTGTCGAACGATTAACTAGAAATAATCGGAAACGAGTGAAGAGGAAATCACGTTCTCCTTATCAATGTTTGCCCTAGAGGCGGCAAAATATTTTCCATGATAAGAACCAAGAACTGACCGTGCGCGCGTCCTTGGCTGCTAGCGCTGTGGTCCCCGGTGGACAGACCTGGAACTACGTGAGTAAACAAACCAAACCAGCCAGGAGCGGTCTTCGCTCTTCGCCGCTTCAGTTGCTCACAACACTTCGGCGTGAACGTGCACACGGCTGTCCTCTGAGATGCTGCGATGTTTTTGAAAATAAAACTTATCTTACCCCTCCATCCCGTAGTTTGATATATGCCTCTGACGATGAGTCGGGTTAAAACGACGATTAGAAAGAATGTGAGCTGAAAGGATGAATATCTACATTTTTAATGTTCAGTATTTATGTTCCTTTTCATTTAATTTATCAATGCACATCATTTTAGTGTACTATATACTTCCCCGAATAAAATAAATTAACTTGATCTCATTTTCTAATTTAACTGGTCTAATATTTTCTGGAACTGTGCTGATTTATCCATAGAGAAGACACCTTGTCATGAAATACCAAATTTGGGCCAAATAAGTTGGTTACATTTATAAATTATCTTATGTATAGACAATCTTTATTAGTTATCAGAATTTTAATCAAAATAAAAACTATACTGCATTATTTCTGTATAAAAAATACGACAATTTTTCTGTTCAGAAGCACTGGTCGTAGGAAAGTGTTTTAATCAATGCTCTAAAATACCATAAACAACTACATGTTTCGTCATAAAAGTTGCAATATTTTAACGTTGAAGACGATAGTAGGAATATAATTTGATTAATTCAAAACAGAGCCGTACTTGATGAATTATCCAAATTCTATCTATTATACTTGTAGTGCAAATCAAACAACTTGCTTAAACGAAGTAATAAAGTACATGAGTATACTTTCCAATTGAATACTATTTAAAGAAAAAAAAAATTAAAAGAGACTGTATGGTTGTTAAATTGTACAATTAGTTAATTGGATAGCCTATAATTTAACTATTTCCAAGTACACAAATAATAAGTCTTTCATTATTCTCTCTAGGCTCCAATGTTGTCTATAAATCCTCAAACTATTTTTAGATGCTTTCTAAGACTAGACTTTTGTGTAAGCAGTGTTGTTATTGTTTTAAGCTAGAGATCCCAACCAAAAAACCCGTAAAAATGATCAACGAAACAACTTCGGTTAACAACTACAATGTAAATCAAAAGAAAGTTCCACACAACGATAACTTAAAGTAATTCCACTAATTCCAGTAATAGTTGTCTACTTTTACTACAACTGCTGCAGATTTGCACGTGACACCCTGGCGCACTGGAGGGGAGGGGAGGTATTGTTGTCGCTCATTGTTGCCCCTCCCCTCTGGCCAGTATAAGAGCGGCGGCCGGTACGGTGTGCTGTATTTGTCACGATGATAGTCGACCGACTAGCATCCCTGTGCGCAGCGCACGCCGACTCGGTCACTTTGAGTGTGTTCGTGCTCGCCCTTCTCGTAGGAAGACTCCTCACGCGGTGGTGGAAGTTGAGGAAACTTCCCCCGGGACCCAGAGGACTTCCCATCCTCGGATATCTCCCGTTCTTCCGCGGCGACACTCACCTTCACTATCTGGAGCTGGCGAAGAAGTTCGGTTCCGTGTTCAGCATCAAGTTAGGAAATCAACACGTTGTCGTACTCAGCGATTATAAACTCATCAGAGAGGCCTTCAGGAAGGAGGAGTTCACTGGACGACCACAGAGCGAGTTTAGTGATATCCTAGGAGGTTATGGTGAGTACAGTGTTTACTTGTTGAGGAAGTGAATTTTGGGTTTAGTCTCCTTTAGTTAAAGAACTCATTTGACTCTCTCTTACTTTAGCTTAAAGGCAATTCAAAGTAATTAAAAAGTGACTATTAAAACGTGACGAACGTGAACGTGAATTTTGGGTATAGTCTCCTTTAGTTAAAGAACTCATTTGACTCTCTCTTACTTTAGCTTAAAGGCAATTCAAGGTACCCTAATTAAAAGTGATTTTTAATACGTGACGAACCGTTTGGTCAGAGAACTATGGGAATCTAAACTGTATGGTATAGCCTATTTCTCACACATTATTATGCGTGTACAAAGTTGTTGTTGAAACCTTAATCTAAAATAAAATTTGATTTTTCCGACGTTTCGATGTACAAATTTTTTACCAGAAAAAAAATAATAGTCTTATTTTTGTGTGGTAATTTGGAAATAAATTTAATTTTAACGGATCTAAAGTTCATGTTATAAATACTATTTGTATACGATGATAATAATAATGATCTTTCAATTTATAACTAGAATCTAGCCGTAGTTTTAAGATTATTTTTGTAGAATTTAAAAATTTATCGTGTCATGTTTAATTCAATATTCCCTTGAAATTAGTTTGTAAACTTTTCATTCAGTTAAGTATTTTTTAAATATTATAGACTAAATATTTGTATTAATAAAGACTATATGTGTATTGGTTTAGTTCAGTTATCAAAACAACAAATCGCAATCATCAGGTTTGAATAACCAAACTAACTAATTATGAAATCATTGTTTGTATTAAATGAACCTTTTAAATAAGGGCATAGGTATTTTAACAAGAATTTTAATCAGGCCTACTTTACTATATCTCCCTTTTTATTAGTAATTAATTCAACATGTAAATTCATCGTCTTAGTGCATTTGAAACGTACGTCAGCACACCATGGGCTATAACATTTTAGGCCTATAACCAGTACTAAGAAAGTTAATTTCAAATGTATTCGATATTAGGAAAAATTTAAGAAGAAATCAGTAATTCAGAACTAGTCAATTATTAGGCTACTATTTGCACAATGCAATAGGCATATTGTACTAAGGAATGAAAAATTATGTATTCAGTTATGGTCAAAAACGCTTTTGCAATGAGTGTTAGACAGTCTCCTTTAACTTACATTTTATAAATAAAACAGAGTTATACTGAGATAGAATAACTGTCCCTTGGGGCCGATATTTGTGGCAAAAGTAGGACATATGTAGTGATTATTGAGATTTCATGTTAATATTAACTTTAAAACAAACTTTAAATGAAGTAAAGCCGGCGGAGCCGGTATGGCCGGTATGGATATAGAGTAGGCTTCTACGTCTGTGACTGGAGCTGAAAAAGTCCTTGGCTTCCATACTACAATCTCGCATTATAATACGTCTGTCGAAACCCCTTTATGTAACTTAGGAACTATTATTTCGAAACGACGGTGTTATTATTTTGAATGGGCTTGCCAAATAAACGTGTCCGGAATAGTACTTTACTTTACCCAAGGACGGTGCCTTTGAACACATCATGGTTCAATGGACATTGGATAGCTCGATCGCCAACGGTTGAAATTTGATGAAAAATAATACAAACATAGTATTGATTTGGGGAAAATTAAAACCTTCTCGTTTTATTTCAGGAGTGATTAACATTGATGGAAACTTGTGGAAAGACCAGAGACGGTTTCTGCATGAAAAACTTCGAAAGTTTGGCATGACCATCACAGACAGTGGACGCACCCACATGGAGTCCAGAATAATGGTAAGAAGGGGTTTTCATCTCAATATTCTATAAGTTTATAGTGTATTAATATCAATAATTTTAAATATTTACCAAGTCAAGATTCATCTTTTTAAAATCTTTGTGGAAACACGTTCTAGCATTTGCCTTAATATAAAAATGCATAAAGCATTAGTTTCTCCAGTTTTTATGGGCTAAAATGCAAAAACATTTTCCATTCTATATATCCTTCTATTAAATTTCATCGAAAAGTATTAAAGTATAATAAGCATTAAAGTATTTCAGTAATTTGTCCTGTATTCTTTTCACACAGTTTTTTTCAAATTCTCAGATAGTATAATATATCCATCTTTGACTACTAATTCTTACTCTGAATGCCACCTAAGTTATTTTCTTTCTTCCTAGTTTATCACTTCTCACCATCTCATGTTGTTATTGCAGAAGGAGGTGCATCTGTTTCTCCGCAGCCTGGTGGAGTGCCGCAGTCGCCCCACAGATCTCAATCCTGTCCTCGCCACTTCCATCTCCAACGTCATCTGCTCAGTCATCATGAGTGTGAGGTTCTCCCTGGAGGACCCGAGGTTCAAGTTGTTCATGGACCTCATCGCTGAGGGGTTCAAGCTGTTCGCTCGCATGAGCTATGTCAACTTCATCCCCATTATGAGATATCTTCCAGGACTTCAGGCCACCAGAGCCAAGATTGCCCAGGTTAGTTGAGTTTATTATAAAGTAATATTACTGGTTAATCTGAAAAGTGATCTAAAGGGGAACTAAATTGTGAATATGTACATTAGAACTTTTATGTCATTCGGTTCTAACATTTTGTTCGAAAAGAATGACCTAACTTATTTCAAACTACTTTAATCTTTATTGAGCTATCTTTGATGTTTTTAATTTTTTGGTTTGATTCCTGTTTCCCTTCTATTATAAATTTTTTTTAAGAGCCAAAAACATTTCAACAGGGTTTCTAGTACCGGTATTTTATTTTTTTAACCCATGGCATTGAATCTGGTAAAGTACATAATTTTGTACCAGGAGGAATAACAAAGTAAAAGTAGATTTTACAATGTATCTAAAATTCCTAATTCCTCTTGCAGAATCGCAACGAGATGGCTCAGTTTTTCCAAGAGACTGTGGACAACCACAAAAAGACCTTCGACCCCTCCAACCTAAGAGACATCGTGGATACCTACATCCTGGAGATCCAGGAGTCTACGGCCCAGGGTCGGCTGATGTTTGGAGGGAGGGACCCGGACCGCCAGATACAGCAGGTGATCGGGGACTTGTTCACCGCGGGAATGGAGACTATCAAGACTACGTTGCAGTGGAGTGTCGTCTACATGTTGAGGAACCCTGAGGTGGCCAAGGCAGTGCAAGAGGAGCTGGACCAGGTGGTCGGCAGGACAAGACTACCTAACCTCAGGGACAGAGAGTTCCTGCCTTACACCGAGTGTGTCATACTGGAGGTGCTGCGGATATCTAGCGTTGTTCCTCTCGGCTCAACACACGCTGTCACTAAGTAAGTACCATTTAGCTTGACAATTTATATGAATTTAAATTTACACATCATGGGAAATCAAACAAGAAAATTTAATACTAAGCGACACTAGTTACAGGGGTGGTATTTGGGATTTATTAATTTTTCTCTAATGAATATATATCTGAATTAAAAAAAAATATTATCATACCTATTATATGTAAACACTTTAAATTTGTTTCAAAATGTTTAAACCTAATTCATTTTTAAATATAGGCTATTTTATTACTAAACTAAAATATTCTCCACAAAATAAAACCTATGTTATATTTTTTAATCTCTCCTACATGCAATTCCAATGACCCTTGTTGAAGGTTTGCACTTAGAAACAATAGTGAGATATTATTACAGAGAGGGCAATAACCCAAAATATAAACAAGACTGTGGAGACAATGAACCAGGTTATTGGCCATCCTTGCAATGGTTAATGACCAATGTGATATGGCTATTGACTCTACCAGTTCACTCACTGCATACTGGTACTACATTTCACAATACCATGCGTTCCACTGATTATAAATAATTACAAATCTTTTTCAGCTTGTTATATTTTGAAATATGGTACTTGTAATCACAATTAGATGTTAAACTTTTGGTTGTTAATTTTACAATCTAACTATAGGTACTTTAATTATGTTTTCACCAATCATCTAAAAATTAAACTCTAAAATTATTTGTTTTTCTACTAACATTACATTTTTGATTTCCTATTCTAGTTACCAGAGATATAAACCAAACCATTCCACAGAGTAGAACTGAGTAATGAAATATTGTTACAAGATTCATCGCTAATCCCGTGATGTTTCAATGTGTCTGTGTTTCTCAGGGATGTCGAGCTGGGAGGGTACACCATTCCACAAGGTGTCCAAGTAGTCCCTCACATCCATGCAGTCCACATGGACCCAACCCTGTGGGACCAACCAGAACAGTTCCGCCCTGAGAGGTTCCTCAATGCCGAGGGCAAAGTCCAGAAACCTGACTTCTTCATACCTTTTGGAGTTGGTAAGTATTTTTACAAATTATTTAATTTACAAAATTTTTGTTTGACTCAAACATTTTTTAGGAATAAATTGAGACCAGACCAAATATACTTTTGACATAAAATGAGGTTACTAATCTGTCGTCAATCAGTCCTAGATATTGTCGTGGATGACTATAGTTTCGGGGTTTAAACCCCATTTTCAAATCTTCTCTTCAGTCGTCATATGTCAAACATAGTCTGTTGCATATGTTTGACATATGACTACTGAAGAGAAGATTTGAAAATGGGGTTTTAATCCCGAAACTATAGTCATCCACGACAATATAGGACTGATTGACGACAGGTTAGTAACCTCATTTTATGTCAATAAATCAATCCTGGAGGCAAATAAATATACTTTTGTTCACAATCATATAAAAAAATTGATTGAGAGAAATTATTTTACAGTTAATTAAAATGTTTGAAAATACTGCTATAGTTTTTTGTACTCAGTTAAAATAAATGTTGTACAATCACAATAAAGGCATCTTTTATTTTTGTCAATAGTACTAATGCGTTGTAGTTATACCTTAAAAAATGCATAAGGCCTACACTTATTTGTATATTTAAGACATATGATAGTTTCACCTTTGACAAATTTACAGCAAAAACTTTTTTCCATTGTACAATATTAATTTATTTAAAAGTTTTTATTTGATGAAGCACACACAGTATTAAATCCCAATCTTTAATAGTATGCCAAATGCATTTTAATATACTGCAAACCGACTGTTTATTGTATAGCATTGATTATTCTAATTCACTCTTCCTCTCCACAGGTCGTAGAATGTGCCTAGGAGATGTTCTCGCACGTATGGAGTTGTTCCTGTTCTTCTCCTCGTTCCTCCACTGTTTCCACGTGTCAGTGCCGGAGGGTCATCCCCTGCCGTCCCTGCAGTACGTCCCGGGGATCACCCTGACACCTCAGAGTTTCCAGGTCGCCCTGACCCAGAGGATGCTGCACGACTGCGACCTGGAGTTTCTCTCTGATCACCTGACAAGTCGCAACGTCGGCTCTCACTGAACCCCTGTGATGTAAAGTGACTTTAAACATGTGATTTCCAAGTGGACCTTGAATGTTGAGAGATTTTATTGTATGTGCTATAAGTGAAACTCGTACATTGTGTAACTCGTCCTACAATTTGTTCCAACCGGTGAATTTCAAACAAATTTAAACATGTCTAGTTTAGAAGCAGAGCGCTGGCGTGTGAATTACGTTATAGTAATCTCGCCTGTTGGGTTCTCGATCTCGTCAAGTTTGTGAGTACAACACCACGGTTGTATAAAGTTTGTAGTTGTACATAGGAACTCATTTTACCATTGTGTTCATTTATCAGTTTGTAGTTGTACATAGGTACTCATCTCACCATTGTGTTCATTTATCAGCTCATTAACGAAGTTCTAGTCAGTCGGTTGTGCTAGCTTGGCTATGCCCAGTTTTGTAATTTCTTTGTATTTATTGTAGTTTCGCCTAGGTTAGTATGTCGGTTTACGAGTTCCTTGCATAAGGTTGGGCATTTTGAGTTTTAATGTACACTGCCTTTCCACACCGGTTGCATATTAATTTATGTTATGTTTCTAAAGATTTTCTATGTAAAACCAGAATGACTTAGGCTAATTACTTAATGAATTAAAATGTTTTATGTTATGGATTGTACAATTATTTATGATTTGTCTACAATTTTACAAAATGATGTATATATTTTTATGAATTTTTTATTTTAATTTAAAGATGTTGCTGTATAATCAGTACTAAGGTAAACACACTGTACAAACCCAACCGTGCCTAGTGTAATAAATTATTTTCATTTTGATAAATACTGTCTACTTGATTGGCTAGAGCCTCCCTGGTCCTTCGTCCATTGCCCTTTAGGTTATGTAACTGTGCCAGTTGAGGATCAGCAGTTTTTGTTGGACTCAAGAATGTGCCAGTTTTGGACTTATCTCGACCTAGATGTTGCAACGTAGTACAAGGCACATGGTCAGGCATATGAGAGAATAATCATACTTAGATTATGCGACAGGTAACTAGATAGATGAGCAAATCATAACCAACAATCTGTCTGTCGGGTCAGGAAATTCATCATTTAACACTAATGTGCAAAAAAAGTGTTCTTCAGAAGTAGCTTTGCTTTGACTCTTAACAAGTGAAAGATGATATAGTAATCTTGAATACGTCAAGGGGTAAAATGGTTGAAGAATTCAAAGAAAAAGAGTTAAGTCTAAGGTTTACTTTTGAATTGATCAACAGTTTTCAAAGTGAAAGATGAGTTGGTAAATTATAACCCATCATGGGGCTAAAGTGTGTGGTAAAGGTAAATTCCCCCCCGCCGCAGCAAACCTGCAGGCTAAGCAAATTTCCATTTGGTTGAATTGATTTTAAATTAACATTAGGTTTAACAAGTACCTAGGTTTGCCGCTACAGGGAAATGCTGTAATTGTGTAAGTATGCTTTAACAAAAGTGTGTTTAAGTATATTATTAGAAGCTTAGTGTAATATAAATAAATTTACCAAGTTTGATCAAAATATTTCTATAAACAAGCAAACTACAACATTTTACAATAGGCCTATTCTCCATAAGAATAACATGAGAATTAAAAATTTGCAATTTTTTGAATTTTCTCCATAGACAATAACCGTACAAAAACGCCTTAGTTCATTAAATGATTTTTTTTTAAGCTTTCTCTAATGTCCTAGAGAAAAATTGGAAAATTTTGTATTTTGAGGGTCAAAAATGAGAAAAACCAATTTTTACCCCATAAAACCCTGTTCCCATGGTCCGATCATGCTGGTTCGCGAACGCATTAAAATTTATTCTGTCTTACACCTTCAAACCAAATTTCATAAAAATCGGACAAAAATTATGTAATTAAGGGAGATGAAGGTAAATCGTATGTGAAAGTTTTATTCGAAGATTTGGTCAGTTTTTCTCATATCAGCCTACACAAGATTTAAAATTAATCAAAACCAAAATGGTGTTATCCACTACTTACCAGATTTAAAAGTCATAGCTTAAACGCAATTTATTCCACCAACACAATTATTTAATGCGCCTTATTTCAGAAAAATAAGGTGTGTGGTGTCCGTTAAATCGATTTGTAAAATCTAACTGATTAGGAGAAAAAATTATTATTTTATAAACATAGATAAAACATGATGACCATACATAGTAGAACTATGTCTAGCATAACCATTGAGTGTTAAGCAGTCTTACTTTACTTATGCTATAAAAAAAAAAATAGTTTGACAATGCTTAACACTTATGGCCTTTTCCTGTTCCATACTTGAATTATTATAAAAAATTAGGCTCAATACTTTTTTACACAAGTGATGTTCAACTATTAAAATATTACTGTACTTAGATTGCATTTCTATAATTTTATAACCAATCGATGAAGTCAGCAAACAACCATAACACAACAAATAACAAAGGGAGAAAATCGCCCATTTATTTGCCATTAAATTGTAGATAGATTTATTTTATACAATTCAATCCACTTTACAGAATTGATGACCAGGTTTTCGTTTGAGGCCGATTTTCTCATTTTGAAACGTAATAAAAATTAAAAACTTATTGCTTTTCAACAACAACCTTAGATTACAAACTCATTGTAAACTAAGGTGAGAGAACCATCAACACAGATGTCTCAAATATAACAATGTTCGCTGGTATTAAAGGGGAGCTCAGATAAATTAGAAAAGCAAGTTGAAAATGTAAACATTTGTCTTAAATATTGGGCCATAATAAGCAAAGTGAATTTAATACAAAAAAATCACTATCATCGAAACATACAAATAGAATAGTAAAAGCCAATAGTAACTAACGTAGATAACACGCAAAGTTCATTATACCATGGAAGTAAATACTTCGTTAAAATGGCATTCTGCTTTGACTAAATATTTAGAGTATTTGTGATTTACTATTTATTTTCTTGTTTGGATAATACACTAGCTACCTCGACTTACGCCATTGGTATTTTTACTTTCCAAACCCTGATCTTGTTGTCTATATAACACATACCTTTTGTTTGATACAGCATTAATTCATTGATAACGCGAGTCCAGAATCTTCAGACGATTGTAAAAATATTGAACGAATGTGGCATCACATAATAATTTAGAGGAAATTGTCAAAAATCTGTTCTCCACCATCTATGTTGACCTGTTGTACACCTGTGTGCAGAATCCATCTAGCTAGGAATCGAACCAGCGACCTTCAGGTTCGAAGGTAAACTCACCATGGTAAAGCATATCCAAACGTGTTCACTTTACCGTCGTTTACTACTTCAAACCAGTTTCACATTTCGATTAGTAACACCAACTACTTTATTTATAGACTGGGTTGTTTAATAATAAACTTCGCCAAAAGAAACTCTAATGATTGCTCTTTTGTTTGTATTCTTTCATTCTTTGCAATTGTTTAAAAACTATCAAAACTGACCTAAAACTGACCGATCAGAGTTTAAAACTATATCAAATTTGTGTCAAAAGACAACGCAGCTAATTAAAACGCTCGACACAACCTCTAGCTTATTGTTTTAATTATTATCTTCAATTAGCTGTACCCGCGGGCTTTGCCCCGCTTAACTTCATAAGTATTCGCATGGCTCAATCACTTCCTGGTTGAAGTTCGTTCGCTACGCTCACTCACCTTCAGGTTGGAAATCGTTCGCTGCGCTCACTTGTTTTCAGGTTAGCTCGTTCGCTACGCTTACTCGCCTCCAGGTTGATGTTCGTTCGCTACGCTCACTCACCTTTTGGTTACAAATTAGCTGTTGTCATAAATTTAAAAAAGTCATCCCTTTAATTGTTTATAATACTTTGATAAAGGTTTTTATGTTTTAATATTTAACATTGGAGAATTTAAACGTTGTTCAGTGCACAGGTGTGCTGCGATTGGGGTTTAATACATTTGGACTTATTAAAAAGTAAAATAGTTTTCTGTGCTGCACTCTGTAGAAACACTGTGGCACTATTTCAAATCACGACTAATGCTAATACAGAATGTTGTGATTATTCAAACCTACAAAACACAGTTGGTGAAAGTAAACATCTGGTTTTAAATTATATTTATTTGTAAACATTGTAGATCAAAAAGTCTGACATTGGCCCACTTAAAACCCTCTAGGGCAGAGCCCTTTTGACGGATCTGCACCAAACTTCACTCGAACCATCCTTGAAAGATGCTTAACAATGCCTGAGTTTCATTACAATCTATCGAGCAGATTCGGAGTCCATAACGTATATACACACACACACACATACATACATAGTTCCTCTTTTATAGATATAGATTATTCACTGATTAAAAACTTTTAACAGAATCATTGTTCTTTTGTTTTTATGTCCCATAACTTACTTTAAACCATATCTAAGTCACTTTGTTTAACTATTTAGAAACTACAATATGTTTAAAAATATATTACATTTATGTACTCTATCTAAAATAAGCCGATTTGTTTGCTTGTTATATACGCGATAAATGTATAATAACTATCTGTTGATAAATCGGCCAGATCCTTTTTATGAATACTATATAAACGCAGCTGATCCAGCGATTTGAGTGCGGGACTTCTTTCCTGATGGTCTGGGTTCAAATCCCACCAATTAATAAATTTGCAATAGTAGTAACAAACTTCAACGTTATGTGATGCAGATTTTTTTCACAGTTCCCTAAACTAAATTCAAAATAACAGGCCAATGGAATTGTAAAACTTATTGTTCTTCTAATACCTTGGCTAAAGAAGCATTTGGCTAAGTCAGTAACAAGGTACAGTACACATGTTATCTTTCCCTCACATTCAAGTTCAAATAGCAACATTGTGTCAGAGATTACTACACGGTTATCCCGGTTATTGATTTGTTTATAATTTCTCCCCTATACATAGTATATGGAGAAAGTATTATTTTCCTCGACATTTGCGAGTGTTTTGGGTGGATATATTTGTTTTGGGTCCCTCTGAACCCTAAAAAGTCGTTTTCCCGAAGTGATGTCTGTTTGCATGTGTGGACGTGTACAGAGCTACAGACCCCACCTGTAGTACAACTTTTATGAAATTTTATATGTATGTACTAATTAACTGTATCTCCAGGTGATGTTTAAAATTTTTTGAAATTTTTATATTTAATGGTGGTTTTCCCATTAAATATAATCCCCCCCCCCCCCCAAAAAAAAGGACAAATCAATTTTTGTTAATGGCCCGAACGATTTTGATAACAAATTTAGAACGCTATGGTACTTCAAATTCTAAAAAAAACGGTACAATTATCAATTATCATCGCTGTAAAAATTGTGGTTCAAAAGTTACTGCAATCTTTGTGTTTTTTCCGATATTATATCATACTTAAGATATAATATTTGTTGCTCCCCCATTGGTTGCTCATGATAAAGGCTGTTGACAAGCTAATGGGAGAAATTATGTGTCTGATTGTTGATACCGTTTATTTTATATATGTCACATAGTTTGAAAACTTACCTTAACTTCTATTTTCAACAATAACACGTTAAACTATAAAATGCGCAAAATAAATGAACTGCCACGTGCAAGTAACCAGAGTGCAACAGCTTCTGAAGATACTAAAGTTGCATGATAAACATGCAGCCTATTGTGTACGATGCGTAAAGACAGTTCGCGAGAAGACCTTTTCCACCGCTATCGCTGGTCACTGTTGTTGCTAAGCGCCGCCACCACTTCGATATCTCATTCATCCGAACAGCTTTATTGCCCCAGTTACAAACTTAATTGTAAAAAATAAACCATTAAATGAACTTTAACAAAACACTAACGTGCGTAGTGGGTA